GGTATTTTTCTGTGAAATCAGTGCCATTTCCTAACATCATTTTTCTTCCCATTTACTAGGTGTATATACAAAGGAGACAATGAAGTCATGTATAGGCCTAAAAGCGCACAATGCATTTTTCTCTCTCCTCAATAATTTGACCTCAAGAGATAGGCCCTCTTCTGTTGTTTCTTATGTTGGACCATATGACATTTCAGACACAAAGGCAACAGGCAACTGCATACCTGCCTTGTTTTCATTTAATGTACAGTGCTTGAAGGCACTTGGGATAAAGTCTGGGTGAAGTGGATGCAGGGATGGTTTGCCTGTAAATATAAATTATGATAAATCAATTTATTACAAAAAAGGAATAAAATGAAAATAATAGAATTGCTTTTATGCTTTATAGAATATATGACAACTGCCAAAACCTAATGTCAACAATGTTAATCTTGTTTGGCCTTGATAGGTAGTGTAGATAGACAAGAGTTTGAAAGTAATTATCTGTCTCTGGAACTTGAAAAGGTGTAATATATTAATATGTAGATCAATCAATAAAATGTTCTGGGCAGATGTAAACATTTTCCACCAGGCGCCCAAGCACTCGCATCAGCGTTCATGCGGTGGGGCCTACCCATCGCTTCCATTATTCAGGTTTCTTTTCGTGATCTGGGGATATATGAAGGGTTAAACCTTTCTTTCCCATCATGTTTTGGTTTGAACAACCAACAACAACACAGTTCCTTGGCATTTTCACGCACAGAAACGAAATTTTCAGAAAAATTCAGCTACTTTGTAAGCAAAGCGCAATGACTTTTCAAACGATCGAGGGTTTGTTTTCACCAAGTGCTCGTTGCTAGGCGTTACCGAATCGGTCTATTAGAATAAGGAATCAGTCATATCTTGCCACAGTATGAGCAGTGGAGAATTGCTGGCCTTTGCAGAAGCAGCAAGGATGTTGAAACTGAGGTAGTCATTTGACACTAGTCTGTATATATAATCCTGAGGTACGGAGAATATTACTGGATTCGGCAATCACATAAGACTTCAGGAAACAGCTGGGGGTGTATTCCTGAATTGAGAAGTATAGGCTTGAGGAATGTGCGTCAGATAAGGTGCTAACTATATATCATGTATAACATGTACTTCAGTGACTTCGTTACAATATATGTATATGTATAATGTTGACCACGTTCTTCCAAAGTAAATAGCCTTACTGTACATTTTTAAAACTGCCATTGACCATAGATGATGACACACCAGGAAATGACTTCATTACTTGTATTACACCGGCAATAAGACTGAGTTAAAGCTACAGGGATCATTGACTCGTGTGAGGATCATGGTAATGACAGCATCAAGGTTAATGGATTTCCCCCTCTTTGATGTCTTGGCAGAGGGAGAGAAAAGAAATTAGATGCATCCAAGTTGATGAGTAAGGGCTGCTATGAGCTTTTTAATTTTTATTCTTCTATTTCTTCTTTTTTTCTTTCTCAATAGACTTGAAGTAAAGATCTATTGCTAGTTATTCAAAATACACCCACATTCATTAATGCTGTTACCTCCGGGTTTCACGCTCACGCTCCAGCAGTGGACAACAAACTTTTACCGTATGTTCCATATTTGAGAATAAATTCCTAAGAAGTTTTAGAACCTCAATTTAGTTTCAGTTTCCCACAGCCAAGTAGTTCAGGGTAAAATGCCACACAGAGAGTAAGTCCACTGCGATTAGGTAGGGAGCCAGGGGTAGAGCCCCTGAAGAGGAAAATATTGTGATAAGATGGGGGTCATATTGCTATGTTTGTGGATTTCCTTGGAATGGCTGGAGTAATAGGGACTTCATCTCAGAGGGGTAAGGTCACTTCGTAAACTTTATCAATATTTTTATATATATCCTTAGCAATGGAAAATAACAAGAGATTCATGTATATTACAGCATTGATAATTGAAAGAAGTAATAATTATTGCAAGATTGGATGGCTGTGTGAAACTAATAGATTACCCCTCTGTCTGTCAGATTATATGCATGATAAGAAACATCACATGCAAATGTGCATAGATGTGCAGATTTTCATTGGAAATTGTGGTCTTGTGTTTGTATATTTATTATGAGCATTGCATTAGTTTTTTCTATATATATATGTAATGAGAGAACTCAGGAGTTATACAAAAATAAACTAAAATATTTATGATTAAATTATCATTTGCATCACTCCATAAATTCCTTAATGGTTAGCAATATCACACCATGTTACAAAACTGATCATATCATTTAGAATAAATTTTATTGCAACAAAGATACCAACAGACAAACTAACTGAATAAGAAGGAATAAGAAAAAACATTATGTAATTAAGCACAAGAGGGACAGGGTGTGGCTGGGTGCAGGTGTGCAGGGAAGGGCTGTCCCAAGCATTGCTGATGTGACTTTTGCTGATTTTTATATTATTTGTGTAGGTCAGTTTATGGTCAGAATGTTTTTTTTATGATTCAACTGTGTATAGATAGAGAGAGAGGCTTA